GATTGATTGATTGATTGATTGATTGATTGATTGATTGATTGATTGATTGATTGATTGATTGATTGATTGATTGATTGATTGATTGATTGATTGATTGATTGATTGATTGATTGATTGATTGATTGATTGATTGATTGATTGATTGATTGATTGATTGATTGATTGATTGATTGATTGATTGAATCATTGAATCATTAAATAATTCACCCGGTAATCCAAAAAAACGTCATCCTCGATAGGAAGGATGCTTGTGCCTCAGGGCATTGTTTCTGTTGTCAAATTTAACGTATTGTGGTTGTTTTTGACATTCGTGTATTTTTTTAAGGCGTACTCACTGAACACACATTCAACCCTCTCTCTTCCCACGCACACACACACACACACACACACACACACGCACACACACACACACACACGTACCTCGTCCATTGCATAATTAGATGTGTTAGTTGGCGGTATGCTGTCGTAATGGGCTGTATCGGCAAAACAAAAAATTATGAACGTGACGAAGATTTCTAAACCGTAAAAGCCAAAGATGACCAATTGAAAGAGCGGTCTTTGAGCGAGGGAAGTTTCCTTAAAATAACACATGGTTCAAAATAATTTGTTTTAACTTTGATTTGACAATCATTTCATTTTTCTAATTAATTTTTATCGAATTTTCATAGTGTGCTGTTAAATAATGTTAGATAACACCAAAAACTATTTGTGATATTTAGAATATTTGAAATACTAAAATCTACGGGCAACACTACTGACCCGCGGTCTGACAGCTCTCGATACGATGGACACCATGTTGAAGAGGACAGCAATGAGGCAGAGAAAGTAGAACAAGAAATGAACACCAGATGTCACCAGACGTTTTTCCTTCTCAGCCATTAACAGCAGCATAGATACAGTCTTAAACGTTATGATATTGTTTTAGTGAAAATTTTTAACATCTTAAAACATTGTCTTAAAACAACAGTGCACTAACTAATGTAAATATTTGTATGGCTGGTGAAACTAGATTGACGGCATACCATCCGGACCAGCCGTTGACATAAGCCACCATGTTGTGGACAAGCGAAATGATGCTCAATATTATTAAAATCGATGTAAAAATCTGTCGGCGTGTTGTAAATTCAACTACGTATGTATATTTGTCACTTCAAAAGTAAATTAACCGAAATTATAGAAATCAAATTCTGAAAATCTTAACGATTTTAAAAAGTAATTTCTTCAACAAACATTGTCTCACCATTTTGGCAACGTGCAATTTTGATCCTCTCCTGACCAATCTCATAGGCAGTCGCACATGTTTCAAGTAGAAGAAATAATAAAAAGGAGCGACAAGCAGGAGAAATGAACATGGCAGCCAGACGAGAACACTACTTTGGAAGCAGTCAGTCAGATCAGGGTAATCAGTGTCCCATGTTAGAGATTGGTTCTAAGTGAATTTTTATTTATTAATTTTATTGGTCGCTTAAATTTAAACAGATGGAATAATCTGAAAATGAGCCATAGATGCACAATAGTATGACAACATCTGTTGGTATTTACTAAACAGGATAGCGTATTGAGAGGAGCATTACAAGTTGTTGTAAACATTTTTAACGGCTGATTTGCGCCTTACTGTTAACGCTCTAAAAATTAAAACTTAATTTAATGTCAAAAACACCACATCTCCTATTAGAGCTGGTTGATGGTACAACACTTGGACAGATTGTTGCTATCTGATGCCATTGTTTGATAGAATATATTAATAACTTACAGCAAGGAATCTCAAACTGCATATGAAATGTAAAATTTGAGTCGATTAACTGAGTGCCGTTTGGGTTATTTGAAATTTCTACTTTGTTCTAAAACAAATATCTGACAAGTTATTTTAAAATGCATTCGAAAGTGGAAGACGAGTTTTGTTGCTCTCTTGCTCCATTTTATTCGCATTGATCCACAAACATTATAGAAGAATATTTTTATATGTAGTAATAGGGAAAGTTAAAAACACGTACCAGCTGTAGCGAATAGCGAATATAAACTAGCGAATATACAAAAAGCTAACATGATGATAAGCATCGTTGGAACCGGAGTTGGTAACTCAAACGCGCATCATTTGAAACGACGAATAAACAATTTAAATCACGTGTTTAGCAACTCGCTAATGAATGATACAATTCTTTTTCTTATCATTAGATTACTAGTAACAAACGTATCGTTCAACATTGAATGAACATTACATCATAAATGAAGTATGAACGTTCAGAAAGTATTATTGAACAATATTGAGACGCGTTTATAATAATTTTAATGTTAACAATAATGAGCTTACGTGAAGTGAATAGCTAGTTAATACAAATAAGTTACAATGATACCTAAGACCGAGCATAAAATTTTATGACAAGGTGCATGGTGGAGTATTTATTAGTATTAGTTAAGAATTAAATAATATTAAATAAGTATTAAACTGGCATGACATAAAATAGGTAAGTGTAAAATTGAAAGTAAGAAGCATGTTCGACAATACTTAAATGATGAAACAGTTGTGAAAAAATTAAACTATTATAACAACCCAAATAGGTCCTCCGCAGAATTGTTCGAAATCCATCCTTCAGTAAAAATAATTCATAATTTTATTTCAGAATGAAGTTTTTAAAATTTAACCGTTAAAAATGAGCTAAAAAAACCTTCGAAAAAAATAAATTATACACCAAAAACTTCAGGTTATAAAAAAATTTCTCGCAGTAGAACATACCACGCACTCATGTACAGAATATAAATCCTTTTTTAATATACGCAATGCATATATTACACATTAAAACGATATGTCTTAACGTAGACAAAACTTTTTCAAGAAACATTTTATATATATCATAAATATATATATCATCATACAAATATACATACATATAACTCAGTACTTAAACATGTACACTACACGTATAGAAGTATAATTATATTTAAAAACATGTGTGTGCAATGTGCATGTGTATTGTATATATCTGCAGAATATATGTATAAATAAAACATAAATGTATCGTCAAGCGATTCATAAACAATGAGGTAACCTCATATAGCGACAGCAGTTGCTCACCACCTCATATTGATCTTATATAACAAAATAGTGACACTGCCTCACAGCGCGAGAACTTCTGCTAGGTACGTCATCAAACGAATTCAGCATTAAGAAGACAAATCGAAAATATAGGAATCAAATTTGATAACTTTTTTTTATAGAATTAGGAAAGAGGCTTATAAGCCTGTATTGCTTACATGTTAATTATCATTATTGCTGCTTTATTATTATTAAATTAAAGTGAAAGATTGAATGGAGTCCTGAAAAAAATAGCAAGGGCACGGTTAAAATAGTAAGAACAAAGTTGTTTTCTATCATTCAAAATTTAATATCATACATTAGCAGCCAAAAAGAAACTATTGAAATGAAATAGGACGATGGAGAAGATGAAAATGTTTCAAGAATGTGGGAGAATGAGGCAACGTTCAAATGAGCGAACATGTCGAGATGAGTATAAACATGCTCCTAATGCATTTCATCATGTTTATTCTGCTTCATATTAGTAAATAAATAAATAAAATATTCATAATGCAGGCACGTGCGTGCATGTTTATAACTTATTTTCAATTTAAAATTTAATTTCCACGTCATAAATATATCGCCAAGTTAAAAGAAATATTGAAAATATATTGTTAAAACAAAATCTGCAACTGAAGCAGATACGTACAAAAAATTTAAAATTAGCCGACTTTACCCAAATTAAAATATTCATGACAAATGGCAGACACGATGACTAACAATATAGCGTTCTGTCGTATAATGTTTCAAAAATTCTAAAAACTAAACACCAGGCAATTTGTTAAAAAATTATTTGAAATTTGTTTCTTGTATAATTAACGAATCATAATTAAAACATCAATAAACAAATTATCACCGGACTGTATAAAATTATGAAATCATTCATTAAATGAAACTTGGTGAGAAAAATTATGCTGCTAACTATATTATAGAAAAAGAAAATAAGTTGATAAAAATATTACATGTGATTCAAAAGACTTGAAGTGAACATTGGCACATGAGATTAATTTGAAACTTTCCTGTCGATAAACTACTCTCTATATATGGTTAAGTACAATTTACTACTATGGTATCAATACTATCAGTTGTAAATAAGCCAAAACAGGAGACCAGTACTGGGTTTTTCTTGAAATATTTATTAATAGCTGTCAGTTTAAAGACTGGGCGATTTCACTTCTATAATTCAACATTATTATTATTACCATAATTATTTTGACCCCAACCTTCCTCGAATAATGCATGACGGAATAAGTCCCAAACAAAAATTTTCAAATTGTTTTAAAAAAGTTTTAAAAAACAAAAGTACTCTGAATGAATGAATAGATGAAACAAGATGAAAAAATACTAATCACAACGGTTTCACCAATGGGTCAAACCTCCTTCACATAAAAAGCACAGCAGGATTTCATGAACAGGATATCTGGAACACTGCTGGACAGAGAAAGCTGCAAAAAAATAATTTTAAAATGTAGTTCTCGGTAGTTCAGTGAAACTCACCATTTATATCTAAAAATATTTCTCACTACGATCATTCTGACACCTAACGACGAATGACGTCGAAGAACTTTTTAAAGCAATCACTCATCTAAAACGCTATTGCGACGAGCACCTGCAAAAGAAAATGCAACAAAAAATTTAAATATAATATGCTGTAAAATGAATTATATGCTCTATGTATATACACATGCTTTATACTTATATATATATAAATTTAAACATTTTCAAAATTTTGGCCCATCCGCCAAAGTTGTCTAGATCCGCCACTGCCTACACGCAAAATTCATTTAGTTTTTTAAATTTTCATTTATTTTTGGTTTTTGATTCGGATGATAAGCGTCTTACGAGCGCTTTCTAGCCAGTAAGCCTAGAAGGCCATCATCATTAACGTATCGATATGTAAATGTACGTGTTTGTCTGTGTGTTACGTTTAATTGTATGAATTGTTTTTATTAACTTGTAGCTATATATGAAATAAATGACGTAGTGTTTTTCTGTTATGTATGCAAACAACAAATCAAACATTTTACATTAAGTAGGCCCAATAACAATTTCCATTTTTTCTGATTGTCAGCTTTTTCCGTGATCGCCGAGGCAGTGTCGGTCATTGTGCCTGTAATTGTTGGAAATCCATTTCGCACAATTCATTCACAACAAAACATTACAAACTTGCCAATTACGCAACTGGGATCAGAAGTTTAACCGTTCAGTACATGCTCGGGTCAACAAAACAAGTTGTGTATGTATCTGATTAATATTTACAATTATCGTAGATTAATTTGTCGTAACAGATCCAACTGATTAATACCGAGATTTATTAAGTTGTTAATATGCGAGCCTGGACAAGACCTCACTATGATAAAGTGATTCAAGTGATTTAAAAATAATTGTCGGCATAATTACTGGAATGGGCCGGAGTTTAAATAACCGGAACTATTTTAAAAAACTGAACCACAGTCGTTATTTCAAAAAAATGTTGACTCCATCAAATGTAACATGTAATCGTGAAGCACATTTTTTTTAATTAAATACAATTATTATTATCACTAAATAAATCTATAAATAATAAATTAGTGTAAAGATAATTTGAAAAAAAACCACCTTAATAACAATAAAGTTAAATAAATAATAAAAAAAATATTGACCTTAGTTAGTAGGCTAATCTAACCACATGTTTCATTAAAAGTGACAAACAATATTAACATAATAAAAAAAATAATAATGACGTCAATAACAACAACAACAACAATAATAATATAAATAATAACAATAATAATAATATAATTGTAACGGCGCTGATAAGAATGTATAATTACCATTGAATAATAGTAATAGGAAATTAATTGAAACGTCTTAACGAAAATCCTACTGACGCTGACGGACGAATGTACAAAAAATATGAGTTTGCTTTCTAGTACACACGACCTACTGGCGTAGATAGTACATATAGTACTCGTACAAATCATTTTTGCTTTGAATGTACAGTACACATATGAACATGAAGTATTATATGTATCTATATGTATCACTCTATGTGTGTGTGTGTGTGGTGTGTGTGTGTGTGTGATGTGTGTGTGTGTGGTGCGTGTTTAAATAGCGATTTATAGGAACACTTATAATTAAAACGATTCGATTGAAACAAAATAACGATGTTTAAAAATAATTATAACTACAGCGAAATAAAACCAAATGAAGAACATAGATAAATATTTACATTTGTTCGTAGTAAAAAATGTGAAATACACATTTATGAATATTCGATTGGACTTTTCTATTAATAACTTCAAATTTATCAATAAAATGCATTAAAACAAATTCAATTTGAATGTCAATTAATAAACCAAAGTAAGTTCGCTAGTTAGGTTGACAAATGCTAGATGAAATGATTAGTCAGTAGAACGTGAAAAGGGTAAGAATCAGTCATTTATCATCGTGACGCCAACTCAATCATTTTCATTTCATTGCCAACTTTATGACAAAATTGTAATCAGACCGCAAAATATCATCAGAACTTACAAAATTATTATTCACTGATCATAATATTCGAATCACAAAAATGATTAATCCCTTCAGAAATGATAATAGCAACGATAATGTTCAACAATAAAAAGGAAAACAACAAACGAATATAAACCAAAGAAAAAAACTAAAAGTAACATATTTACAATGGGGACCCATACAAATGCAAACATCCAATGTAACAGACTTTCACAGAATCACACAATACAACCCAACAAACACACACACGCGCGCACAGACACGCACACACAAACATACAATTATTTGAAGTTGGCTTTTTTTAAAGATGTCATGAATTGAAGGCTAAGTAGAACCATGCCAGGTTAGTTACAATCAACATCTTCGTCTGTTTTTATTATAAATAAATGACTAAACAAATTGGTTTTCTAAAAATTATTATTATCCTTAACAAAATTCTTTATTTTTCAATTTAAAAACATTATTGTAGTGATGCAACAAAATAAAAAAAAAACATGAGGCGATACCTGTACTGAAGTAAAAATACTTTCATAAAGATACGTGAACGAACCAACCATTAAACACACACACAAACAAACAAACACATGCACACACACACACAAACACACATGAGCGCGCGCGCAAACATCCACAAAACGAAACTAATGGAAACCTCTTCCATACAAAGTACGATCTACTTCATCCATTCTTTATTACATTCAAATGTTATAAGTTTCATAATAATGTAACTATATACAGTTGCATGAAATTTGTACACAAGTATGTATTTGTATGTAGCAGTCCAATTGTCCAACTTCAACTCAGCGCATTCAACTGTTCGTTATATATAAAAAAAATTCTCAGCAATCAGCATCCATTGATAATAGAAAGAAAGATTTTTCATCAATTTACTATTGGTTATTTCTATTTGAATTTCTTTTGGCTTGTTGGTCACAAGACTCGGTGACGTCATTCTCACAGGTCAGTGAGAGACTCATGTTATCGTTATCATCGGCCTCCATCAGAACATCATCATCGTCGTTTTCAATTACTATCTCTGTATTGGAAGTGCGACGGGATACGTGAGGAGATGAAGGAAGGTTGCCGGTAAACTTGGAAGAAGCTGACTGTGAAGAGAAATTGTTAATGGAGGAGGATGGCGAGTCAGTTGTTCGTGCGCTGCCGTCATCTCGTACCGCCTGCTGCCCCGGCTTCATCGGTCGACCTCGCCTGAATAATTCAGTTTATCAAATGTAAAATATATTTACCCCTCTGCTGTAGTCAAGTCACTGTTTTGATATACATTGATTTATAAAAAAACAATCAAAATTAAAAAAAGAAAAGAAAAATTAGTCACAAAAACTGAAACCTTGATTTGAGCGATGACGGGCGAGAAATGTTGGACAATGCCCCAACACCAGTTTGCGCTGTCGGTGAAAATGACGAGGGAAATTTGAAGGAGTTATTTTGGAAAAAAGAGAAACCGATGTTACTGTTATCATTGCTGGCCACACTGTTGCTATTCTCTGTGAAGTTAATATTGCTGCTGCTGTCGTTAGTGTTGTTGTTGATGATACTTTCATTGATGTTGTTGTTGGTGGTGCACATGACGCAATCCCATCTACCTTCTGGTATGCTGATCAGTCCCACGCAGTACGTGTGGTAGCCACGGTCACAGTTGTCACAGAACATCATCTTGTCCTATAGTAAACGAGTTTGACGTTAAAAAATTCATGCACACATGGTAGTAAAAATCAGAGTGTCAGAGTCAGTCAAAGTTGGAAATTTTCGACAAAGTTGGAAATTTTTGAGGGACCTCAGTCGGTGTGCAGTGAAGATAATGATTTAACTATGTTTTTAACAATAACAATACAGATGATGATAATGTCAACAATGATAACAGTGATAACAGAAATGATGAAAGTTAATATTGATATATATCAGGTTAATGATACAAATGTTTATAATAATAGCAATAGATACCACCGTAATATCAATAATAACAATAATAATGATAAAACAGTGCAATGGTAAACTAAACTGACCTCGTCATGTGGTTGTGTGCACTGGTAGCAGACCTTGCACTCCATACACTGCCAGTCGTATGTCTTAATCATCGGCACCATCTCAGCTGATAGTCCTAAACAGCCTGGGTGATCTGTTTGTGAATTCGGTCGTTTATTGTTGAATGGTTGTTTATTGGATGGTTGGTTGTTTGTTGCATGGTTGGTTGAATGTTTGTTGCATGGTTGGTTGAATGTTTGTTGCACGGTTGGTTGAATGTTTGTTGCACGGTTGGTTGAATGTTTGTTGCATGGTTAGTTGGTTGTGGGGTGCTGGGTAACACATTTTATTTATTTAAGCAAAGAGAAAAGATAGAGAAAATTATCAGAATCATTGTCAAAACCATCACAAATTATTTTCGCCTTACTCAGTAAAAACAAAAAGACAACTGACTTGAAACATTACAAGTGTTGCACTTTATCAAATCATCTGGCTCGTTGTACTTGTTCTTCGTTGTCTGACTGCACATGCCACATCTCACAGACTGCATTAACATATTAATGAGAAACATATTAATCAGGATAACTATTATTTCCGCCTCCACATAATCATAACTCATCATCATAACCCCCTTGCCATCATTACATTCACCTTTTTGCCTCTTCCAGGACCACCTTTCCGAATTTTCTTCTCCGAACCAAAGCTGGTATTAGAGTCTTCATTGGTGATGGATGATGTGCTGAATGGCTGAAACTTTTTGTTGTTGCTCAATGTTGTTCTCGTTCGAGTCGGTCTGTTGTTGCTAGATGTGCTTCTCTGTGTTGTTGTTGTTTTGTTGTATGACTTAACAAATGAAATGAACTATTTGTAATCCAACAATAAAAATGCAAACAACAACACATTAGGAGCCTTGGTAACGAAAATTAGGCAACAAAACCAGCGCCACCAACAAAACAACAACATAATCACAAAAACCATTGAAACGACATTAAGAACAAATACTACCTTATCAAGAGAGGGAGTTTGTGGGATAGTTGTTAACAGATCATCGACAGCCTCCTCCTGCTCCACATCTTCATCTGATGCTTCCTTTTCCGGCTGATTTGGATCGACATAGATGCTCTGCATCATCTTGGGAGGAGCATATAAGGCGGTGTTAAGTGGAAAGTAGTTGAGTTCTGTAGGAGTGTACCTGTCAAGAAGTATACGTCCGAAGTTATGTTAATAATCAACAATCAACAACACTAAACTATCAAGCAGATAGCATTGACATAACCGAGATGAGCAAGACCAACCTCTTGTAATAATGTTGGTACTGTCCAGGCACGAGGGCCACGGGGTAACTGTCGCATAAATTAACAGATGAATAATTAACAACTGCCTTCCGACTTTGTGGCTTGTGTAACTCCTGCATGCAAATATAAAATGATTTCTTAAGGACTGAAAAAAAACAAAATAATATAAAAATTGGCAGCTGTTAGTGTTTCTGCTCATATAAGAGAGTAATTTCAATTGATGGGTACCAACCATGGTCTGAAGATCAATGTACATGCTCCTTGCCTGTCTCCTATCCTTGCACAGTGATGCATTGAATTCAGCAGCTGATTTGATGGCCTTCTTCATGAGGTTCTCCAATTTTGTTACCTGCGTATTTAAGAATTAGTGAGTTTGTATTAAGGTAGAGGCTCAAAAATGGTAAATGGAGGTATAAGAAAATATAAGGCTAAAATGTTAGCTAAGGATACAACTGACAAAGCAAAGTTAAAAAGCAATTAATGAATAGTACAAATGTGAGGAGACCAACCCCATCAGAAGCAGATCCAGGCTTTTCAACAAACTTCAATCTTTTCCTGCTGAATCTTGTATATTCCTGCATAGTGTTGTTTCCAAATAGTTATCATTTTATTAATTAATTTGCTTACAAAAATGGCTGCCTGTTGATAGCACAAAAAGATGACAAGATGGAAAAATGATATCCACCTGGTATTTTTCAGGGTAATCTTTTGACATGAGTTTCAAAACCTCCTCTGCATTCAGCACCGTCAGACCTACACAATCAATAACAATTAATAACATTAAAAACCACAATAAGATCGGTAATATGAGTTTATTCGCTAACCACAGTTACTAAATCACTCTGTTTGATATGAAGAGAACAAATTTGTACAATATATAAACATTTGAAATAACAAAACAAGCAGAAAAAACTTGGAAGACAAGCAACTAACCTAGATCACATTGAACTTCTGTAACACAACCCTGGTCAATCAAGTACTGCCTCTCCTGATACTCAACTGGTCGACGACTTATATCTAAGTTTGTGTATGTGTGTTCATTAGAATACCATGTTAAAAATATCCATTTTATACAAACTTCAAAAGTTTGCTGACACTTAGTTGAAGGGTGGTTATTTAAAAAAATGAAAGATATTTTCACAAATTTGAAAGAAAAGAATAACTCAAGAGAAAAAGAAAAACATTGGAACTTGAAAATCAACAGACTTGGATATTTCCTCTTGAATGAGAGAACACCTAGATATTCGCTGATGTGTTCTTGCAGTATGTACCATGGGGCATTCCTAGCCTGAGGCCACTGATATTCAACTATGTTCGGTTTTGTTGGAGTGCTGTGAAGCGTGTGAAATATAGTAATTAATGAGAAACTATTTCAAATGGACATCCCATAATTACAAAAAATTAAAATCATTAAAATAGTTGGCTCTCAAACGGCCAAAAAACAGTATTTCATATTTCGTTAACATAGCTATAAAATAATAATGCTAATAAAGTCTAACTTTGCAACGTTATTCAACTGCTCCGCAAAATTTGTAAGTTTTCGTTTCTTAACAACTTTTTGATGATCCTCATCATTGTTGTTTTTGGCCTCTTTGCCATCACCAGTCTCACTGTCACCTGCCTCTCCATCTTCCATCTTGGAAGCATCTCTTTTGATCTGCCTTGAAAATCCAGCCCTTGTGAGACCACCACGACGAGAACCTCTACCTCTCGTTCTTCTTCCCTTGAATGATGACAACAAACGATCCTTCACATCTTGTTCCTCAACTGTTACCTCAGATGTTCCTGGCGTCACTGCTTCTTTCATATCCTCATTTTCATCAGTTTCAGTTTTATTCTTTGGAGTTTCGGTAACATTTGACGGAGTTTCGGCAACATTTGATGGAGTTTTTGGCTTGCGACCCCTTCTTCGCCTTACTTTTTTTCCAAAAAGCTTTTGAAATTCATCGTCTTCATTATCGTCATCATCACCACCATCATCATTGTTGATCAAGACATAGTTTTTAGTTTCATAATTTGGTTTAGGACTGTGAAGCTCGTTGTTATTTGTTTCAAGGCAATGGACATTGTTTGGTAGTGATTCGTTCTCATTAATGAAGCTTACCTCCATGTTATTATCCATATCGATCTCAACGACATCGTCGTCGTCATCACCTTCTTCATCCAGGGTAGTAGTTATTCTCTTAGTGGTTGTTACTCCAGCATTTATCTCACCATCACCTTTCCTATCCACCCTTCTAACTGCATCTTCGTCATCATCCTCATCATATAATTCAATCACGCATTCATTATTTTTTATTAGCTCTCCAATAGAATGGAATGAAACTCTTTGATTGACAGCCACCCCCAGATCACAATCTTTATTTATATGGAGATTATGTCCTGAATCGGCATCGTCATCGTTCATATCATTCACACTAGTCCCAACTATTGATCTACCCACATTGTTATCGTTAGAAGAACCATCATGGTCGGTGTTGCAGGCACGCTTAAGGATAGGACTCTTACTAGAGCAAGTAGTATCCCAATCCGTGCTTTTACGAGCATGGAGATCAGAAGTGGTAGTAGAACATGATTTGTTAGGGGTGTCATCATTGTTTGGATCATTCCCACAATGTACCATTATCCCTTCGTCCTCAATTATGTTCAAAATTTTAAAGTTGGACTGATTCCCAGAAGTGCTTTCGACCATAGGTGATGCTTTCTTATTTACATATTGCATGGCAGTAATGTTATTTTTAACTGAACCACAATCCTGGTTAATATCCTTTTTACATCTATTATTGCCCTCATCATTGTCATCATTGTTGCCATCTTCATCATCGTCATCATCTGATATGCTGTACACTTCTACATCATCAACACTGTACTTAGTCGAATCATCATTATGACCTCTGACAACATCAGATGAATCAAGTGCAGCATCCGACCTCACAAAAGATAAGCTGGCATTTACAGGCTGATTTTTTGATGAATTGGAGTGAGTTTTTGTTGAACTGTTGATGTTGTTCTTGGAGAGCGAATGCAAATTATTTTTGTGATCACAATTATGCAATTTTATATTTGAAATATCAACATTACTGTTAATAATTTCATTGGAGGGTAATAAATTTACTTTATTATTATTATTATTAATGCTATGAGATGAATCACTACCTTTCGAAAAATGGGATATGAAATTCGGACTAGACATTATTATATTAGAATCATATTGAGTATTTGAGAAATTATTCGAAGATGGAAGATGCTGTTGATTTAGAAAAATGTAATTAGAAAAACCTTGATTGTGGGTACTGTACGGTGTTGTCGATGTTGTGACTTGTGGAAAGTTATTAAAACTATGTCGCTGAATGGAATAGAATATATTAGAATCCATAGATGAAGAATTTGATGATGTTTTGGGGACTTTGTTTTTACCTTCTAATTTACTGTTAACATTTTGATTATTCATTTTGTTGTTAAGTCGACAATTTTGTGAAGGATCTAAAGAATTTCCTTTAATGACAGATATTTTATTAGGAGATATTTTAGTGCTGCTCATATCTAACACACCGCCAATTGTTGAAAATTCTGAAAACTTTGAAACACCATTTTCTGGTTCATTGGAATTGGATGTTGTTTGATTTTTAATGAAATAATTAGTAGAATGTTTGTTTTTTATCGAGTGATCGTGAGCTGGAGTAGATTTCAAGCATGTTAGATCCCAAGCATTAATGTTATCACTCTGTTGATCCATTGTGATTGTTATCTTATATGTTATCTTAAGTTAGGCAAATAGGTAACAATCGAGAAGAATTAGAAGAGAAAGATGGAAATTGATCAAGTTCAAGTACAAGTTCATAAGATCTGAACCATAAATTTCAATTCATCTGTTTGTACCTACTAATCTAATAATAAATAATAATAAATAATAATAACAAAAAATTTTATTTCGATGATCAATCAAATTAACACAAACGTGTTTAAAAAATAAATCTCGACCTGATTTGATCCCATCCAGATTCAAGAATAATTTAATAGACCAGAGGACGACGTGCTTCTTTTTTTCTAATTTTACTAATCCTTGGGAGTTCAGAAGCACCGGTTTTCAACAAAGAAAAGCAAGAAGTTTAATTAAATTCGCCAATGCAAAAAAAATCTCAAAATAATTTAATCAATTAATTTTTTAAATCAAAAGTTTAACGGAAATTATTTCCGAAACAGAAAAATTCGAACAAAACAGTTACTTTGGCTGCCTGTTTATGTGATAAATTTTGTTGTATCTAACTAACCGCCAAAAGTGATGGAGCGTTTTATTCAATGTCGTTGGTGCAGTCTGACGATTGTAAATGAAAAATAAAGGTAACCATCCACAAGTTGATTGTTTGTTATACATAATTATTTATGCGATTTATCTAATTTAATCATTTTAAATATTTATAGATTATTTGAGTTAAAGTTTCTAGTATTTTAGAAAAATGAAATTTTAATAAATAAATGTTTTATTTTGATTCTATATACGTTACGAATTACGATTATATCTCAATTACCAGTATTTTTAACTTTTTACAGCAATTGTCAAAATGTGATACTGTTATACTGACCGATGTCATTTTGAATCTCCTTTAACCTGACGATTTACATAATATACTATTCCTCCTATTATCTTACCTGATTCTAAAACTCTTGATGTCTCTCATAAGTTTCGTAGTCTAGGTTTTATCTTTGATTCTACTATGTCTCTCTCTTCTCAGATTAATAGTGTTGCTAGAAGCTCTTACTTTCATCTACGTAGAATAAAAAAACTTTTGCCTTTTCTTGATGATCCTACTCTTCTCCTTCTTGTTACTTCGTTAGTCTTATCTAGGATTGATTATTGTAACTCGCTCTACTATGGTCTTCCTGACTCTATACTCTATCCTTTAAGTAAAGCTTTTAATTCTGCTGCTCGTCTAGTTGCTCGTGCCCCTTTCTTTTCTCATACATCTCCATATCTTGTTCTCTTGCACTGGCTACCTATAAAATATTAGGGATGCACCGGATTCAGGTTTTTCAAATCCGGCCGGGGCCGGACTTGGCCGGATTTGAAATTCAAAAACCGGCCGGGGCCGGGGCCGGATTTTAGTTACCATTTTACATACGTTAGAAAAAATACTCACATTTACGGTTATCTACATGTTGAACATCAAAAAATAACACCA